ACACTGCTGCTAACCACTTAAACATTCTCCCTCTCCTGATAATAACTTTTTGCTTTCCCTGACGTTGGATGTGCTACTACTAGTTTACCTGTTTAATTATAGATCCACTAGGATAAATGTCATACCCTGTCATGTCTCCCCACTCTGTGCAGTCCGTTGTCTCTGTTAATTGCTCCCACCTGCCTCTCGTTTTCCAATCACCCAAGCTCCCAGCCCTCATGCATTTAAACCCTCTCAGTTCTGTGTGTCTTGTCGCTTCCTTGTTTCTATGTCAGCGTGTTCTCCATAAAAACCTTTAATCGTTCCTGTGTGCCTGCCTACCTGCTTTCCCCTGCGAATGGATCCTCACCTCTGCTCACCTCACCGTCGAGCACGACAATAAATACAATAAAGTTTATCTCTCACCAAATAGAATATTTACAACGGAGTCACAATGTAACCATAGAAACACTAGTGTGTGTGTGTGTGTGTGTGTGTGTGTGTGTGTGTGTGTGTGTGTGTGTGTGTGTGTGTGTGTGTGTGTGTGTGTGTGTGTGTGTGTGTGTGTGTGTGTGTGTGTGTGTGTGTGTGTGTGTGTCTGCTCTGTCTTCTCCATCCCCAGTGAGTCGTGGAGGATGGCTGCTTATACTGAGCCAGGATTCTCTGGAGGTTTCTTCCTGTTAAAAGGGAGTTTTCCTCTCGACCGTCGCTAAATGCTTGCTTAATATGAGGATTGCAACCTGCTGGGTTCTTTATATAGGAAACTTTTTTTCTGATTGGCTTAATGAACTGACCTGAATTGGAATGTTTATTATGTGAAGTGCCTTGAGACGACTCTTGTCATGATTTGGCGCTATATAAATAAACTTGAATTTAATTTTGCCAACAGATTCGTTAAATAAACTTTGTTGTTTGTGACCCAAAGTTATAAATGTGTAACGGTCAGAGGAACTGGTCCCAAAGATCCAGCTGACTAACAAAACAGAGCACATATGATCTGGGAAAAGAGCTGTGGCTGCAGGGAGCCCAAATCCTGGAGGTCACAGGTGAACATAGGGTGAATAAGTCTCCTCTCTTTCCGGTCGGCTCATGGGTCCGCGGAAGAACAAAAAAACGAATGCAAGTCAACGGGGCAAAAAAGGCTATTTTCTAATCCGCTTTGCCTTACGCCCTGGATCATACACATGTTGTGCTGCAATTTAAATGAAAACTAATGATGGATGTTTCGACCACGACCAGTCATGTACTTTGAGATTTATCAGCTTGTAAAAGTTCATAATTAGCATGACTACTAGGGGCTGTATGAACTAGTTGACTAGTCGACCTCACTGCTTTTTATGCCTGTCATCGACTAGTCGCTGTCACGTGATAATGACCGGCAAGATGCAGTTCACGGAAAAGACAGCAGCCTGCTGTCAGCAGGTGAGGAGCTCCTGCGCGTCGGGAGGCAACGCGCTGTGCCAGAGCGTCGGTACTGACACCCGCCGTAAAACAGACATTTAACCAAATTGTGACGTTTACCCTCTTGCAATTTAACCTTCCCCTCACCCCCATCCTAACCTTAACCAGCTTGCGCATGCAAAGCTCTGATTGTTGACGCGCTCCAGACATCTGCGTCCTGAGCACGGCCACAGTAACATTATCAAATCAGGTGTCGCCACCTCAACAACTAATTTAACACGCGATCGTTCATGTCGGCTCATTTCCTTTTATGTTTTCTGTCTTTTATTCTTTTATTTGTGCCTGATGCTTTTCGCTGCTGTGGAGCGGGGCGCATCACCTGTTTTGTCCTCGGTGACGCACCTAACTGATGTGGCCGGCGAGCACTCCGCTGTTTTTGCGGTCGGTAGATCTTTTAGAACTGCAGTTCAACGGTAACTCATGAGGTGAATATATATGAACCCAGGTAGCAGTTTTTCTTTAGGATTGAGAGGAGATGCAGGAAGATAATAAACAGACAGGACAGAAAAATAGTCAAATAAAAACAAGTTAGTTTTTGTACCTGCTGGTTGCAACAAACAGACACCATTGAAGGTAATCAGAAGTGAGGAACAGAAAATGAAATAATTATTTTAATGTTTAGAGCAGCAGGAACTCCGAGAGGCTGCAGGCGCATCAGTGAGTTTGCGGCCGCTGCGCAGGGGGAGGGGGGAGAGGGCTGAAGCAGGGGGAGGGGGGAGAGGGCTGAAGCAGGGGGAGGGGGGAGAGGGCTGAAGCAGAAACTACCGTTGTTAAAAGAAATGTGTTTAACTTTGAAAATGTGGGCGCAATTTTAATTGTCAAAAACTCCAGCGAACCAACTGACCCCCCCCCCCCCCCCGCTTCAGGTATATGATGTCATCAACGACTAGTCAAAGTCGACTCGATTTTCATTACTTGACTGTCGACTTTAAAAAAAATTAAGTCATGCAACCCCTGATGACTACACACCAGACGTTGGTGCGTCGCATATGTGACGTCACCACATAATCTCCTCTCCCCCAGCGTAGCTGCTACTTACCACATGACCAGATTTATGGTGGTTCTTTCCTCTTGAAGGAAGGAAGTGAAGTTCCCTACAGCCATTTTTCCTCTACTTTCCTCCATTTCTAATTTATTGATGCACACATAACCTAAAAGAACTTTTGCCCCCGCTTAAAAAAAAGCGCTTTCTTGGCATCAAAATGCATCTTTAAAATTCACGGACATCATATGTGAAATCCGCGGCGCATGGCCAACAGGATTAGAAAATAACTATTTACTCCCCTTTACTGGCGTTCATTTTTTCGTTCTTCCGGGGACCCGTGGTCCGAAAGTAGATGGGCGTGACTTAAGCTCCCTATAGGTGAGTTTTACGTGACTACAATTTTTATGTTTCTCGCATTCCTCCCCGGACAGTGTGGAAAGAAACAACATATTTTGCCTTTAATTTGGTTGCTTTGAATGTTTGGTGGAAGATTTAGCCAAGATGATGGTTCACTCTTTCTGTGTGGTTGATTGCACAAGTTATGTTTGTTTTTTCTAATTCCCTCCATAAAGGATCATGAAAAAGAAAGAAATGGTTGCGGGTGATCAGAAGATTAAACCCAGACACTCCAAAGAAAGCCTAGATTCCTGCAGCCTGTGAAGATCATTTAGTTCACCTCTTTTTGTGACCTGTTTTATGTAAAAAATAATATTTTAGCCGGTAAATCTGCTTAAGCCTGTAGAAACTGTTTGCAGGATGTTGAGAATTTTGTTAGCACTTCACACCAGATTTAGTGTTTAGATGGTTTTATCTCTGTGAGAACAGCAACAAACCAAATCTGACAGAAATGTAAAGAAAATGGCTGAATAACAATAAAAGTTGTTTGTTGTGCTCCTTATTATTTTACACTCACACTTCCAACTTTTCCTCTTGAAGTCTCACAGCTGAATTTTTCAACCCCCTGAAAGATTTGACAAGTTTTTAGATAAAATGGTTACAGAAAGCACCACATGTGCTGCGTAATGCATGCTGTTTACTGTATATGCTTCCCAGCTCTGCAAGTGTACACATGTGGGATGAGAGCGGTTGACACCGGTCGTGTCTCTGCATCTGGATTTTTGAAATGCACCAACATGCAGGAACTCACAGGCTCTCAGTGGGCCATGACAAACCCCTGACATCTCCACAACCCTACACCTTTAAATCAGGAATGCACGCTAGCAAAACAAAAAACAGTGATTAAAGAGGGGTAACAGGATCAGCTCTGATCAGCTCCTTCTGAGAAAATGCCAGGGAATTTTCAAACCCCTGTCAGGTCACTCACTCCAAGTCATCGTTTCTTTCCCTATTAATTATGTGCCAAACCGTGGAAAACATCCTCCTTCTCTATGCGAACAGCCTTCTCTGCTTTCATGGGCCAAAGTAGAATGATGAAAACACGCCACAGAGACTCGGCGTGGAGAATCAGGATCCCTGTGATGTGCCAACCCTCTTATTTCTCTGACAAAGAACAATGGCCACCTCAGAACTGATGGCACTCACACAGAGAAAGTTTCTCTTGTGGAAAAGAAAAAAACTATTATCCAAAGACATGTTCTATCATGTGATAAGTTCTGTTTTCTCAGGCCAAATCCTTTGGTGCCTTGCTGCTGAAAATATTTAGATCTAATGGAGATTTAATCATCAGATAGAGAATGAGCTGGGCACTGAAAGACAAAGAAACAGCAGAATGATGAGGTGGGATCCATCAGTGAGGGAAACACTCAGTGACCTTTTTAGCCCAGTCACTATTTAGTGTCGTCAGAGATGAAGATCCCAGATCTCTGTACTGTGCTGATGCTGACCTCTGCTGGCCACACATGGAACTGATTTAGATACTGGGTACTACCTAAGAGGCTCGTCTTGTAAATGTCTAATAAAAGATGTGTTAATAAATCGATTTGTTAATAGATATAGACAATTATGTATATAATATCAGATCCAGTAAATAATTCATGCATAAAATATGTAACATATTGTGTTAATAGAGAGATATAATCTGTAACACTTTATAAGCATTTATATGCAATAAAGGTGAGCAAAAAGATAAATTGACTGGTCTCTTTCCAAACAGTGAGCTGTCTTATGCCTGGTAAATATTTATAAAAGCCAAAAGGGAGTTTTATAATAAAGCGTGAAACACGTGACTATTTATTTATGATCAATAAACATCGTCCTTACTATAAACAGCACAACCTGTTATTAGCCTTTTAACATTAATCAAAATCATATGGTACAAATTTATTTTCTAAATTAATGCATGATAAATATACCTAATAGATGCCCATTGATTATTAATAAAACGTTACAGATGAATTATTAGCGTATCTTTTGACCATTTATTAGCTGTTTATAAGGGGACCCTCACTGTTTACGTTAAACTCAGCATCATTATTGACAAATCGTGTTTGTTTGTTTGTTTGTTTGTTTGTTTGTTTGTGGTGTATTGTAACCCCGGCTACAAAACCTTCCAGTGGGTGGCGGTAATGCACCACCACGTTGCTTGCAAACTGCCATAAAAAGGAAAAGAAGAAGAAAAAGGAAAGCTAGGTGACGTCAGCACGCAGCACGCGGCGAGGGGAATCCAAATCATAACAGCCGTCATGGCGCAGCAGAGAGGCCGGTGGAGCTCAGAGATGGAGGAGCGGCTGGTCGGTATGTGGCAGCAGCGCGAGTGTTTGTACAACGTTTCCTGTAAAGCCTACCATAACCGGAACGACCGGGAGAGGAGCTGGGCAGAGTTAGCTACGGCTCTTGATATGCCTGGTAAGGTTTTAGCTAACTCATGGAAACGTCTCGCGCATGAGCACGATAGAGATGCGTTTTGTTGATTTCAGTGGAAGAAGTGAAGACGCGGGTCACAGCCCTGAGAAGCCAGTACGGGAAGCTCCTGAAGGCTGGGGGAAAGCCTCTGACCACCAAGCAAAAATGGATCTTTAGGTCACTGACGTTTCTGCGGAACCACGTCGTCACGCAACGTGCAACTGAAAGCACCGTACGTAGATCACTGACTGCTTATTCAATGGTGTTTAATGTAAAAATAATAATTTTATTTACTCATCTAGCTGCCGCAGTCCGCTAAAGACGCCCTGGCCGCAGAGAGGGAGTCCATCGGGGATCCAGATGATGACGTCTCACAGATGTCTGAAGAAACATCTGTGGAGGAGCAGTCCAGTCTGCATAATGACGACGACTTTTCCCCTCCTGCCTCTCCATCACGGCCAGCAAAGAGGCAAAAGAAAAGCCAATCTGCTGATGACATTGAAATGGAGAAACTGAAAATTTTACAGCAGATGGCGGCTGCTTTCGGGGCTGGTAAAAGCAGATCAGGTGCTTTTAGTGACAGCAACTTTGGAGCACAGGTAGCCGAGGAGCTGAGGTTAATCAAAAACCATTTAATAAAGACGAGAGTAAAGAGAAAAATAATGAATGATTTATATGAAGCACAGGAGAAGGATGCCATGGATGCACAGCCATCTATGTCATACCCGCCACCCCCTACATACCCCGTTCCACCCTCTGTACATATGCCCAAAACACATCCACCCCCTCTACACACATACACAATCCCACAAGCACCGCCTCTAACAGGACACAATCAGTACCAGCTGCAAAATAATGACCAGATACACAGTTTCAAGTTTAAGATGGAAGACGACGGCTGAACACAGCAGAGTTCATGGGCGGATTGTTATTCGTGGTTCTGATTTTTCACCATAACTACCTCTTTTCATTACGGCCTTTCTGTTTATTTAAACAAGCAATATGTAAGAATCCCACAAATAAATAATCATATCGGACGGAAGGTTACGCTACAACTGATTTCATTCTCAGCCAGCTGGGCGGTTGTCAGTTTTTCTCCTAAAAAAGCCTAAAGAGGGATGTAGTTGCTGTTTACAATATGTGAGGTTACCAAATCTGCGCCAGTCTAATGCAGCAGCACCGGCATTTGTAATTCAACACCAGTCGGCTAAAAAAAACTCCAGAGTTGTTGAAGGCAGTAAACGGGAGCGACCCAGAAGTTATTTCTTGTACCTCTAAGATGCCACAGCTTCTGGCGAAGCAGGCTAGAGGCTAACATTCAGCTAGCAAAGTAGAAGCTGTCGGCCCCCTACCAACAACTCGATATTACAGCGAAATGTATGTGAAGTGAATAATGAGTCATTTTACTTTATTGATTCATTCAGAACAGTAACAGCAATATGGTAAACAACCAAGCTTACTCTCAGTGCTGGAGGCATATTACCGTATTAAGTGTAGGAAGTGCTCCCTACCGTAAAGCACCAAAGATTTCTAGCATCAGAGGTGACAGTGTATTTATCTACTTATTAGCTTACTGTGTATGACTGGTCTTTGCTTGTCATCTAGAGCCTTCTGGTGCTGATGTGTAACTGGCAACTGCCAGAGAAAGCCTCCTTTAGAAAACGGTACCGCCATTTTGGCGTAGGGAAGCTAAGGTCATTCATAAATGGTCAGACCATGGCGATAATACTCAGAGAACGGCAGTGACATCATCAGTCTTCCTTTGAAAAATGGGGTGGGCTAATCCAATCTGACCACAGAATGCCATTCTTACTTCATTATTACATACTGCTCCTTATAAACGTCGTATGATTTAGTACATCTTTATGCTTCTTTTGTTAGTTGAAGTCGTTTTTCCGATGGGTTAGTCATTCCTTGATGAAGAATTGAATGGAACATATTCTCAGCTAAATAAAGATGGTGTGTAATTTGTTTTTCCAAGCAGAGCCTGTGTTTTTGTTTATTTATTTGCAATTCTGACTAGGGGTAGTCCAATATTTATTGTTTTTACATATTGGTGTCGGCCGATTTTTGTCCTTAGTAAAGCCGATCTAAAGTCTGGCGCGTCTTTCGGCAGCCCAGTGCTGTCGCAGAATTTAAATGTATTTTTACGTCCCCTAACAACATCTGCATAACAAATACTCTAAATTAGCTTTATTTAGGTGTCTGGTAATAACACTGAACAATGCACAAAGTCAAGATTTAACAGTTAAATTCAGAGTTCAAAAACGGATTCAGCTTCAGAACGTTTGTGCATCAACTATTATTTATCACATTTTGGCATGAAAATATGGTGGAAAACATCAGAAATATGAAAAATCTGCAGTAAGTGTCGACCATCGGCTGACTCCTACATATCGGTTCCTGCAGTAGAAAGACTTGTGTCCCGTCGACCTCTAATTCTGACCTCTACCTGGAAATTTCTAGAAATACTATAATGTACTTCACTAAAAATAAGATGCCAGATTTGATTGGACTACAACTGCAGTGGTTAAAGCTGTTGCCTTGCAGCAAGAAGGTCCTGGGTTCGCTTCCCGGCCTGGGATCTTTCTGCATGGAGTTAGCATGTTCTCCCTGTGCATGCGTGGGTTCTCTCCGGGTTCTCCGGCTTCCTCCCACAGTCCAAAAACATGACTGTTGGGTTAATTGGTCCGTCTAAATAGTCCTTAGTTGTGTGTGTGTGCCTGTCCTGTAGAAGACTGTCCTTCTGCAGCCTTCAGAGAGTACAGACGCTTTTTTCTCAGCTCCCTTATCAGCTTCCCCAAGGCTCTTGTCCTGTCTGCCTACAGAGCACTTCTCTGCATTTCTCCTGAAACCACTACTCTCTTTTTGGAAATATGGACTTAATTAATTGGTCATTCAACGTGATTGACAAAATTTTCTCTACGATGAGAACGGAGAAGGGGGCTCCCACCTGTCCCGAGGGGACATTCGCATCGGGATATGCACTCGATTCTTGGGAGGTCTGGCGACTCGTGTGCCTCTCTCAGCTGTCCATCGAGGACGTGGAAGATTTGTGGATATTCGGCCTGATGATCACTGGATTTCTTCTGATTGGAGTGGGAGGATATCTGGTTTTCTGGAAATTTGGGAAGACGGGAGCGATTGGAGTGCGACCCGTACCCACGGAATGTGCCGCTCGTGCGGTGACCTCACAGACTGGGACGTTACTCGAGGTGAACCGTAAGCTGGACAATGTCCTTGCGGCGTTGCCTGTGTTAGTGCGCAAGATGGATTTGATCTCGGAGAGGGTCGCCGGACGATGCGGGGATGTGGAATGTAAAATTGGCTTCACTGGTGGACATGAATGACCACTTAGAGACTACAAGACGGAGAGGAAGACTATCTCTGTCTGCCCTAAACAAAGTCATGTTTATCCTTATCTGACGCCATAGCAGCCTCTCAAGGCTGCCTCAACACACCCCCACAAAAAGGAGGAATGCCGACAGATGCTGTGTCCCGACCTTCACCCTCTTCCTTCAGATTCTGCAGGAACTTCAATGTGCTCCCTGTTCCTTATCTCTCCCTCCCACCTGCTGGTCTGCAGCTGGTCGATGCGCCGCAGTGGCAGCTCCCACTGGAGGCTTCAGGATCCCGCCCACCCCCACCTCCCCATCGGACTCTGATGTTGTATACGTGCTGTCTGTGCTTCCATGTCGGGTGTTTTTTTTTGCATTAGAGTGCTACACCCTGCTGGTGTAACCCTGTTAATGCCTCCCCCCCCCCCCCCCCCTGAACATTCCTCATGTAACACCCTTTTCATCTAACTATTAAGGTAGCGCGACTCATGTTGCGAATGACCGCAGTCACCAATTCTTGTTATGTGTCTTACCCACGTATGTCTGATCTTTGAATTGTGTGTGCTGAAACTGAATTTCATTTCTCTGTATGTCCTGCACATGTGGAGAATATGACAATAAATGACTTTGACTTTGACTTTGCCTTGCGATGGACTGGCGCACCAGCCCCCCCCCCCCCCCCCCCCCCCAGTATATTTCAAATTCAAACCTGTGTCTTTTTTATTTTATTATTTGTTTGTTTGCTTTAGTTTATTTTTATTCTCCTTAATGACGTAAATATCACTTCATGGTGTACAATAGTTCATGTTATTTTTATTGGAATACCTTTAAACGTTTTGTATCAAATCAATCATTTGGTGCTCTTATGGGAGCAGATATCCCGATGATTCAGCAGATGAACCACAGCCAGTGTGAATGACAGTCCGTCCAGACACATGGAAACCAGACTGCATCCGTACCACATTCTATGTGAAACAGGGTTAAGGTTGTGTCATAACAAGTGCAAACAGCAGTGCACCAGATTAGAAGCATCCTTTCCAGGAGTGATGCTGAAAAACTAGTTCAGTTCAATTCAAGTTTATTTATAAAGCGCCAAATCACGACAAGAGTCGTCTCAAGGCACTTCACTTAGTAAACATTCCAATTCAGGTCAGTTCATTAAGCCAAATCAGTAAAAAGTTTCCTATATAAGGAACCCAGCAAACTGCATCAAGTCACAGACTAGTGTCAGTGACTTTACAGCAATCCTCATACTAAGCAAGCATGCAGCGACAGTGGAGAGGAAAACTCCCTTTTAACAGGACGAAACCTCCAGAGAATCCTGGCTCAGAATAAGCAGCCATCCTCCACGACTCACTGGGGATGGAGAAGACAGAGCACACACACACATACACCAAGTAGTGTTTCTATGGTTATATTGTGATTTCTTAGTAAATATTGTATTTGGTGAGAGATAAACTTTATTGTATTTATCCTAGTGGATCTATAATTAAAGGGTAAACTAGTAGTAGCACATCCAACGTCAAGGAAAGTAAAATGTAATTATCAGGAGAGGGAGAATGTTGAAGTGGTTAGCAACAGTGTTCAAGCCGATGGCCTCCCTCCATGAGGCCACCACAGCTCAGCAGAACACCATTGTAGTTTGGGAGCTGGTTCCACAGGAGAGGAGCCTGATAACTAAAAGATCTGCCTCCCATCCTATTTTTACATATTCTGGGAACCACCAGTAAACCTGCAGTCTGAGAGCGAAGGGCTCTGTTAAAACATATGGAACAATCAGATCACTGATGTATGATGGAGCTTGATTATTAAGAGCTTTATACAAATCAGTTAAAATATTTTGTCCTCGCGGGCTCCCGTAGAAGGCAACATGGTGTCTAACATGGTGCCGCCCAGAGACTTAGATCCAATTTCAATACTCGCACTTCCACACTTGCGCTCTTCAAATGCTCTATCCCGACCAGGGGTGCGAGTGCACTGGATGCCCCGATTATCAAGTGCGGAAGTTGATCACGCCCCTTTTACCCCTTTTGCACCCTTGATCCGCACTTTACCCACAGTCCATTGCTGCGAGAGAAAAGGATCAAGTGCCTTTTCTGAAAATATGTCTTTTCTAATGAAAGTAGTTCATTTGAGGATGATTAGTTGATGCTCTGAAACTTTTAGACAAAGCAGCAATTAATGAAAATGTATTACAAATATTGTTTGGTTGTTTGTTTGAAAGTTAAAAGTTTTTATAAAATAACATCACAGCGACCATCATCCCGGCATGCATTGCATTCAATCACGCAGTGCCCCCTGTCTCAATTCAGCAATTATTTGTACACTTGTGTACCACGCACTTGAAGCCATACGGGGTACTTTCTCTAAGTACACTGCAGAGTACTTGGACTGGGCCTTAGACCCGCTCCCATGTATTTTAAACCCAAATTTTATGGTGATATGTTACGAATCCACCAACACTTTTTCAGCAACTGGGCATCATTTAATTCCTTTTCAACAAGTAAAAACTGCACATTGTCTCTTTAAGACCTTTTTGTCTTTTTTGTGATTCTCTTGAACTTTCTTCGGTCACACACACACATTCACAAACTTGAAAAGGTAAAATCAGACTTTAATAAATGATCGTGTTTTTAAATAAAACATTGCACCATGTCATCTCACTGATAGAAAACATCCACAAATATAAAATCAACACATGATTCGACATAAACGTGTAAAGACGAGGTTTACATAAACAAATGTCAGTATATATATTTATTTATAGATTACTTTAGACTAAAGTAGGTGAGTCCGTTTTCCCCCTAAAATCTGTTCATTCTAGAAAAGATAAATGACAAAAAAATACTTTATTAGCATGATTAGAACAACGTACGTGTTTGTTTGCTACTTAAAAAAAAGAAATAGTTAATATAGGCAGTTAGGGTCATATGTACACTGTACACCCTGGGTAGTCCTCTCCTCTCCCATCAGATCCAGGGCCTCCACGTGGCTGAGACAGAGCGTGCTGCTGAGCCCTCCCTGTGTGGTGGGATCAGGGGGGGTCTGAGGGATGTAGACGGGGGGAAATGTAGGCCAAGAGGGCTGGTGGTGTGAGGAAGAGTGGGTGAGAAACTACAGAAATTGGTGTTGGAGGATGGAGGTGAGAGGCTGGGGGGGAGGGAGAAGGGACAGGCAATGGATGGGAAAGGAGGTGAGGAGGTGTACGCAGGGAAAGGAGGAGAGAACCAGGGGGAGGGAGGGGGAGATAGATACTCGTGGCATGGCGTGGGGCAGGAGAGGGGGTGGAAGGGGGAGTGGGAGGAGAAAAGCAGCCTGCTGTCTGATGGACAAATGGTGTCGACAGATGTGGCGCTGGGGACCTCCATCGTGTGGTGGAGGTCTGCTCTCTGGTTCTCCGTGTGGTGCTTCAGGCCCTCCACGAGGTGCGTCCTCTGCGCTGGGGAGATCCTGTGCATGTAGCTGGACAGCTGGGACACACACTGTTGGAAACCTGCATTCTCCATACCGAGGATCGGAAGAGCGGCGGACTCTGAGGGACCAACGTTGCCCAAAGCTGGACAGGTTTGACTGTTAGGGTCTGCGTGAGGTAAAAACACATGGGAGGGGTAAAGTATGGCTGAAAGGGACAACACAGCAACAAAACGTAGGAGGAAAAGAAACTCTTGACTGACCATTTCTCAAGTTCTTCCTATCAGTCCACCTCTTAAGATATTCCACAGCCAAGTCCAGAATCTCTGCTTTTTCTATTTTTGGATTCTGGAGTCGCTGTTGTTGATAAAACCGTTTTTCAAAAGAGGGAGAAACACAAATCATCACTATAAGACATTAATACGAGCGGCGAACACGCGACGGCTTCGACTGGACTCACGGGATCAGACGTGGAAAGCAACAGCAAACTCCTCAGCTCAGAAAGGCTTTGATTTATTCGATCTCTCCTCTTCTTCTCCACAACCGGCTTCAACATCTACAGACAGGTACATTCAAGTTTTCTGGTGCTTTACTGACGTCTATCTGCAGTATATATATCTATATCTATATATATCTATATAAATATAGATATATATATGCCTCTCTGATACAGAAAATGGCTTAATAGCTACAATAGATTTGGTTCCATAAATCTGTTCAGGTCAGAGGTCAGATGGTCCTTTGAGCCTGCATGATGACGTCAACTTGGCAACCCAAGAGCTGGCTTATGAGCGACAGAGTTACAGCGTTATCAGCCATCGTTAATGTTGGAAATAAATAAAAACATGATCACAATAACTTCCTACCTTTTTTCTGCTCCTGCCATCATCCGGAGCTTGGTGTTGGAGTTTCCTGGTCATGCTGCTGCTGCGATGGTCCAAATGTCTCTGCTGGAGACAGAAACGCCTCCTCCTGCTTATAAGTGCAGCACAAGCTCACTTCTGATTGGCTGGCAGGTGAGAGACATGCAGCAGAGACTTTAGGACTACAAAACTAGATAGATAGATAGATAGATAGATAGATAGATAGATAGATAGATAGATAGATAGATAGATAGATAGATAGATAGATAGATAGATAGATAGATAGATAGATAGATAGATAGATAGATAGATAGATAGATAGATGATAGATAGATAGATAGATAGATAGATGATAGATAGATAGATAGATAGATAGATAGATAGATAGATAGATAGATAGATAGATAGATAGATAGATAGATAGATAGATAGATAGATAGATAGATAGATAGATAGATGATAGATAGATAGATAGATAGATGATAGATAGATAGATAGATAGATAGATAGATAGATAGATAGATAGATAGATAGATAGATAGATAGATAGATAGATAGATAGATAGATAGATAGATAGATAGATAGATGATAGATAGATAGATAGATAGATAGATAGATAGATAGATAGATAGATAGATAGATAGATAGATAGATAGATAGATAGATAGATAGATAGATAGATAGATAGATAGATAGATAGATAGATAGATAGATAGATGGATAGATAGATGATAGATAGATAGATAGATAGATAGATGATAGATAGATGATAGATAGATAGATAGATAGATAGATAGATAGATAGATAGATAGATAGATAGATAGATAGATAGATGATAGATAGATAGATAGATAGATAGATAGATAGATAGATAGATAGATAGATAGATAGATAGATAGATAGATAGATAGATAGATAGATAGATAGATAGATAGATAGATAGATAGATAGATGATAGATAGATAGATAGATGATAGATAGATAGATAGATAGATAGATAGATAGATAGATAGATAGATAGATAGATAGATGATAGATAGATAGATAGATAGATAGATAGATAGATAGATAGATAGATAGATAGATAGATAGATAGATAGATAGATAGATAGATAGATAGATAGATAGATAGATAGATAGATAGACAGATAGATAGATAGATAGATAGATGATAGATAGATAGATAGATAGATAGATAGATAGATAGATAGATAGATAGATAGATAGATAGATAGATAGATAGATAGATAGATAGATAGATAGATAGATAGATAGATAGACAGATAGATAGACAGATAGATAGATAGATAGATAGATAGATAGATAGATAGATAGATAGATAGATAGATGATAGATAGATGATAGATAGATAGATAGATAGATAGATAGATAGATAGATAGATAGATAGATAGATAGATAGATAGATAGATAGATAGATAGATAGATAGATGATAGATAGATAGATAGATAGATAGATAGATAGATAGATAGATAGATAGATAGATAGATAGATAGATAGATAGATAGATGATAGATAGATAGATAGATAGATAGATAGATAGATAGATAGATAGATAGATAGATAGATAGATAGATAGATGATAGATAGATAGATAGATAGATAGATAGATAGATAGATAGATAGATAGATAGATAGATAGATAGATGATAGATAGATAGATAGATAGATAGATAGATAGATAGATAGATAGATAGATAGATAGATAGATGATAGATAGATAGATAGATAGATAGATAGATAGATAGATAGATAGATAGATAGATAGATAGATAGATAGATAGATAGATAGATAGATAGATAGATAGATAGATGATAGATAGATAGATAGATGATAGATAGATAGATAGATAGATAGATAGATAGATAGATAGATAGATAGATAGATAGATAGATAGATAGATAGATAGATAGATGATAGATAGATAGATAGATAGATAGATAGATAGATAGATAGATAGATAGATAGATAGATAGATAGATAGATAGATAGATAGATAGATAGATAGATGATAGATAGATAGATAGATAGATGATAGATAGATTGATAGATAGATAGATAGATAGATAGATAGATAGATGATAGATAGATAGATAGATAGATAGATAGATAGATAGATAGATAGATAGATAGATAGATAGATAGATAGATAGATAGATAGATAGATAGATAGATAGATAGATAGATAGATAGATGATAGATAGATGATAGATAGATAGATAGATAGATAGATAGATAGATAGATAGATAGATAGATAGATAGATAGATAGATAGATAGATAGATAGATAGATAGATAGATAGATAGATAGATAGATAGATAGATAGATAGATAGATAGATAGATAGATAGATAGATAGATAGATAGATAGATAGATAGATAGATAGATAGATAGATAGATAGATAGATAGATAGATAGATAGATAGATAGATAGATAGATAGATAGATAGATAGATAGATAGATAGATAGATAGATAGATAGATAGATAGATAGATAGATAGATAGATAGATAGATAGATAGATAGATAGATAGATAGATAGATAGATAGATAGATAGATAGATAGATAGATAGATAGATAGATAGATAGATAGATAGATAGATAGATAGATAGATAGATAGATAGATAGATAGATAGATAGATAGATAGATAGATAGATAGATAGATAGATAGATAGATAGATAGATAGATAGATAGATAGATAGATAGATAGATAGATAGATAGATAGATAGATAGATAGATAGATAGATAGATAGATAGATAGATAGATAGATAGATAGATAGATAGATAGATAGATAGATAGATAGATAGATAGATAGATAGATAGATAGATAGATAGATAGATAGATAGATAGATAGATAGATAGATAGATAGATAGATAGATAGATAGATAGATAGATAGATAGATAGATAGATAGATAGATAGATAGATAGATAGATAGATAGATAGATAGATAGATAGATAGATAGATAGATAGATAGATAGATAGATAGATAGATAGATAGATAGATAGATAGATAGATAGATAGATAGATAGATAGATAGATAGATAGATAGATAGATAGATAGATAGATAGATAGATAGATAGATAGATAGATAGATAGATAGATAGATAGATAGATAGATAGATAGATAGATAGATAGATAGATAGATAGATAGATAGATAGATAGATAGATAGATAGATAGATAGATAGATAGATAGATAGATAGATAGATAGATAGATAGATAGATAGATAGATAGATAGATAGATAGATAGATAGATAGATAGATAGATAGATAGATAGATAGATAGATAGATAGATAGATAGATAGATAGATAGATAGATAGATAAGATAGATAGATGATAGATAGATAGATGATAGATAGATAGATAGATAGATAGATAGATAGATAGATAGATAGATAGATAGATAGATAGATAGATAGATAGATAGATAGATAGATAGATAGATAGATAGATAGATAGATAGATAGATAGATAGATAGATAGATAGATAGATAGATAGATAGACAGATAGATAGATAGATAGATAGATAGATAGATAGATAGATAGATAGATAGATAGATAGATAGATAGATAGATAGATAGATAGATAGATAGATAGATAGATAGATAGATAGATAGATAGATAGATAGATGATAGATAGATAGATAGATAGATAGATGATAGATAGATAGATAGATAGATGATAGATAGATAGATAGATAGATAGATAGATAGATAGATAGATAGATAGATAGATAGATAGATAGATAGATAGATAGATAGATAGATAGATAGATAGATAGATGATAGATAGATAGATAGATAGATAGATAGATAGATAGATAGATAGATAGATAGATAGATAGATAGATAGATGACCCCATTTGTGACCTCACATGAAAGCATTTAAATTGATTTTATTTGAAGAAAATTATATTTTAAGGTTTGAAAAGAAAAGAAAAGAAAAGAAAAGAAAAGAAAAGAAAAGAAAAGAGGGATTTGGCCTCTGCGACTTTTTTTTTAATAGTTTCGCTTTTCAAACCCCTGTTTGGTTTCAACATTCATCCCCAGGAAAAATAAAAAGTGCGCGTGCACCATCAGTCGCGCAGGATGCCCAACGCTTTACGTGAATGGTGATAACTAACAGCTGTTTTATATTACAGCTGTGTTCTGGCCCGGTCTCCCTCCTGGAGGATGCAGAGGCGACGTGAGACCCTGGGAAGGTTCTCCTCCAGCCGTGGGAACGGAGCTGAGGTGACAAAGTGAGCAGCTCGGAGCTGTTTATGACGTGTGAGGACAAAAGCAGTTTGCTCTGTGATAAAAGTTTCCAAACGTGTCTAAATAATAAAAATAATCATGTTAAAGCAGCAATGGCTTCGGGTGAATAAAACAGAACAACCATGTCGTGATCGGAACCGCTGTGATGCGCGTCTGCAGCTCAGACGTGCGGCAGGACCGCGTTTGGGTTTCTCACACCTGAGTGAGAAGTGTGCGCCTCCCGCCTCCCGGTTTGGACTCACACACACCCTCTAAAACCATAACAGTTGTTACACACTCTCTCTCTGCTGCTGACACTCACTAGGGGTCACGTGTGTCCTGGTCCACCGGGAGCGCGTGCCGTTACGGCTCCTTTATGGCACGTGCCCCTGACAATTTAAGCAGGAAATCATCCCTGTAGATTTCAGACTCACCATCACCTGACTAGTTAGTGAAAATGTTTTACTTAGCGTTTCCTGCGTGCGTCGCTGCCATGGCAACCAGCGGTGACCATTAGAACTAATCGGCTTCCTATTTGATGTCAAACGGAAGTGTGTGAAAAGCCCGTTATTGTCCGCGGGGTGTCGGTGATCCGATCCTGTCGGTGTTATCCGTACTCCTCAGACCCTAACCCGCTAATCTGCCTCCTTTAAAGTCAGAAAGGATGTTAGATTATCCTGCTGCAGAGAAAAGACAGCTTCCCAGTGTGTGTGCGTGTGTGTGTGTGTGTGTGTGTGTGTGTGTGTGTGTGTGTGTGTGTGTGTGTGTGTGTGTGTGTGTGTATGTGTGTCTAAATAGTCAGATAAATGGTCAGACCATGGCGATAATACTCACAGAACGATAGATCAATGTGTGTGTGTGTGTGTGTGTGTGTGTGTGTGTGTGTGTGTGTGTGTGTGTGTGTGTGTGTGTGTGTGTCTAAATAGTCAGATAAATGGTCAGACCATGGCAATAATACTCACAGAACGATAGATCAATGTGTGTGTGTGTGTGTGTGTGTGTGTGTGTGTGTGTGTGTGTGTGTGTGTGTGTGTGTGTGTGTGTCTAAATAGTCAGATAAATGGTCAGACCATGGCAATAATACTCACAGAACGATAGATCAATGTGTGTGTGTGTGTGTGTGTGTACTTGTTTTACCCACCCCGTGGGGAACTTGGCCTGACTGTCTGCATGCTCATGGGGACCCATTTCCCCATGGGGACTTTTTTGAGGTCCCCACAGGCACAACCCCATAGGAAGCTTAAAAACAGTGCATAGGAACGTAATATGCAAATTTCTCTAAAGTCCCCATGTGAGCATTTTCAAACCAAAATCAGTGTGTGTGTGTAGCCATGCGCCCCTAGTGGTAACACACAATATTGCAGTCCCCATCGGCTTTGGTGTTCTTGAAGTGTGTATGTGTTTCTTCACTCGGTGGTGCCATCTTCTGGTCAGAATTGGAATGCCAGCTAATATTTATTTGCTCTATTGCGCCATTTACTGGTCAGAAGGAGAATGGCAGTACAGCAATACATTTTTGATTAGGTTTCCATTTTTCATGATAGACATCAAAACAAATTTTACTGCAAGATAAAAGCTAAGTACTGGAGTAAAATATACTTGAATAAAACAAATCCTATTTTATAATTATAAAATCAATATTTTAAAATTCAATGTAAGCAGTGAACCTAAACTTTTTATATATGGTCAATAAACCTCAAAAACGCATGAAACTTTTTCAGTGGGTCTTGGCGAGTTCTTAAAACATTATAAATAAAAAGAGCTTTTTTTTGTTTGATACATTTGATACATTTTGCCCCTTTTAAAAAGATAATAGGAACTAAAGTCCAGACAGCCTTATTAACTTATATTGCCTTATTTTTTACATTGAACTGTTACTGACCCAGTGTTGCATCATTGAATTTCAGTCATCTAATTAAGGTAAACATTTAGAAAAAGTCTTTAAAAGGGCTGAGCCAGTCTAATTTCTTGAGAAGTGGAAATTAATTGAATCTATACACAGACATTTTATGAAAGGGGGCACCGTTCATGTCCATGGACAGAGAGGAAGTTGTTTGGACTCAAAAATCACTTTCTGGAGAACAGCTCAGTTAAAACCTACAGCAACAAATCACTACGTCCTCCCTACTATAAAACAGCAAGCTGCTGTGTTGCTCTAAGTATTTTTTCTCATTCACTAAAACAAACAAATGCTTTATGCCTTCTAATACAGTCAAAACTAACTACTGCCAACTTAGAACACTGACCACTGACCATCTGTATGGCAAGAAGTATAAAACCAAGATGGGGATTTGAACCTGCAATGACATCTCAATTTTTTTTAATGAGGTTCTTTTTGCTTGGGACAAAAAGAACCTCGTTTAACATTTAAAAAGAGGACATAATGAACATTGTAAGGAAACTGCAATGACATCCGTATATATGGCAGTCAAGGTTTCATCCCAGTGAACCACTGAGTGTGACTCCCCTCTATTACAGCCATGTTTTCTTTTCTAAATTCTGAAAAAAGTTTTACTTTTGAACTCAGTACAAATTTTTTTATTTTTTATGAGCAAATAGTATGTAGATGCAAGCAGTCGGAACGAGATCAAACGAAAATAGGGTTCACCTTAGAACCTCATGAGGATCCTAAGTGTGTTCAGTGTTTCCAATGTAGTTTTTATTAATCCTGCCCATCATATTTATTAAATTTGCACGCAGATCATTATGCAAGACCTTTGGCACAATAACAAAATGTATTTACCAGTTATTTTCCTGCACATTTATACATATAATTTCATGGGGACAGAAATGGATGGAAATGGCACCCATTCAGTGGAATGGCCCACATCACGTTCGTTTTATTTCAATAAATCAATCCATTGAGTTCTTTAATACTGATTGTAAAACCACAGAAGATCAGCAAAGGAGAATTCCATGGCAGGGAACCCGCTCAACACTCACTTCATGCTCTGATGAAAATTGAGGCTTTTAAATAGGTGCGCATGAAGGGCACGCGCTATGGCATGGTCACGGGTGTTTCTGTGGAGATGCTCGTGTACACTTTGGTATAAATTCGGGATAAAATAATCAACAGAATTATCATTTTAAAAATGATCGTTAACCCCAGCCCTATAAATAAAATAAGTTTTGTATCAATCACATGTATCAAAGCTTCATAAATCAACAATCCAAGATATTGTAATTCCTCCATTTCCACTATATCACAATTATTAAAACCCTCTTGTTGTGTTGTAACATTGTTGCTGTTGTTTTGTTTATTGCGTGTTAGCTCCCAATGTCAAATGTATAAATGAAGAATCGTGTAAAGCACCTTGAATTGCAATGTTGCTGAAGGTGTGCTATACAAAAAAATGCCTTACCTTGCCTGAAAGGCATGTGTGTGTTGGAAATAGGCAAGCCTAAAGGCCACATTTCCTCTGTTGGTTGACCCCTATGACCTTTGACACTTCCTAAGGTGCTGCGACTCTGACATTTTGCACAGTGAATGGCTCAACCCCCATGATGATCAGAATTTATTTTGAGATTCCTAGGTCAAAGCGTTTGAGAGTTAATCATTTTCCCTCCATTTTGTAATTTGGAACAAAAAAGTGAAATGTTGGCCTCTATACAGCAACCTTTGACCCCACTTAGGTTAAACTTAGCACAGGGGATGGCTCTAACCTCCCTGACAACATACTCAAACCTTGAGTTATTAGCTCCAAGTGTTTAAGCGTTATTTAGAAAAACATATTTAACAATGCCTCCTATAATGTTGGGCTAACAAAGGAGCCGTTACTGACCCTTGCTGTCATGTACACAATAGGTGTGTTTCCACAATCGGAATTCCCGGTAATTCGACCAGAACGTCCCATACTCGCGTATCTCCACTGTAGCCAACCAGATCGTTTTTGGGGCCATTTCGGGGACCATCCGAGTCCCTGAATTCAGGTCTGTACCAAGCCCCAACATCTGATTCTGAAGACTGTTCCTACCGTTGAAGTGACAACAATTGCAGTTCCCCCATATTGGCTGGTGGCTGGCTGCAGAACGGAACAAACTCCCATTGTTAATCATGCTAACTTCACAGGAGAAAGATCTTTACTGCCTTGTTAAAAAAATCATATTCAGTTTACCTTCATGACCAATCTTAGTCAGGTGATTTGTTTTATAACTCATCCATTTAGATGTAATTTAATCTTGATATTATGAATAATTAGGGTTGTGGCTTAGACGTCAGCACTAGTGCTGGTTGCTATCATGGCTAACAGCTACCCCGTAGATGGCTGAGGCTCGCCTGCTGCTCCACAAGGCCCAAGCCTCGCAGTCACAGTAATACTGTGGTCGTTTCTTGGCTGGAGATAACCAGCAGCTGACACTGCCACCCTGCGAAGGAAAGATGCTCTAGATAATGAATATGATTAAGCTGATTTAATATTCTTTTGTTGATGCTTAGGAAGCAGAGTTGTGTTTCTCTGCTTAAAATTGCCTGCCAAATCTTGTTAGGTCAAGGTTAGCACCGGGTTAGCTCAGTTTATTTCCACCGGCTCACTGCTATGGTTGTCAACTGTCCGCTCACCCACTCAACGTTCTCACTCTCACCTCCACCATCTTTAGTAGCTAAGATGGCGGCGGTGGAAACCACCCTTTATGCTTCATCTAAGCTCTTCAGCTATCTGTAACGTTATGGGGGCCCCATCCATCTTTACCCAAAAGCCAAAAAAATCCAGTCAACTTTGCCTGTAGTTCTAATACTGAAAATACACCAAACATGATATGTATATGTCAGTTATATCACTGCACAGTTCTAGTAGGCCTACATTACAGGTAATACTCTGAACATCCACATTATGATACAGTGAAATTTTACAATAGCAGGTTGCTGTCATTTCCTAAAAGTAGGCCTTCATTATAACTTTTAATGTAGTATTGTGAATTTTTATAGTATCATGCTGGTAGTGATTTGACTAATACATGATTTACTCTGAAATTATTATTGGTCATTATAATTTTGCACAGTACGCAATGAGTTGCTGCATTTTTACAATAGACTGCTATACTGGTTAAGGTTTCTATAGTACACAGCGAAACCACACACATTGTAAATAGATTTAATGATCAGGCAAAACTAAGAGAAAGGGAGGAAAAAAATCTTTATTTTATTATTTTTTTGTATATTAGTTTCTTTTTATTTAAGGCATGTTGGGGTGTTGTGGGACAATGTAAGAATTTCAATTCATACTTTGAATCATAAATGTCATAATAAATGTACCTACAAAATATTTATGTTTTTAGTTTTCTAATTTCTAATTTCATTTAAGGTAATAATTTCAAGAAAACATTTTTAATAAAAAAAACTATTTAAACAAATGTCATGGCTATGAAATATTAAATTTGGAGGTGCTTTGGGTTGCAAAGCTCATACATTTAACACAGATCCGGACATTTTAGGTCCCCACTATAACCATGCCCATCCCCCACTCTGCTTGCACATGTGAAAGCATGCTGTTAGCTAACTGCTGGCTAATGAAAAGGAGGCGTTGAATTTATCCACCCCTTCAGTATTGGCCAGGCTTCCATGAACACATAAAGCTATAAAACCATTACAGGAGCATCTGTCTGTCAACAGTAGTCAGCATTTACAACTCCCTAATTAGTTTCACCTACAATAATGATTAGGTTTCTTCCTGCACAATCAAAAAGGTATGTGAAAAAGAATTTAAGTGAGACTGCCACGCTGGTGTGCGCTCGAGTTTAGATCGAGCGCTCCCTTTCAACATGAACACCTGCAGAGCGGTAGCAGTGGCAGACCCACACTGTGCCTCACGAAGAGTAGACATGCGGCGGAGAACCAAGTAAAATGGTAAGTTTTACTTATATTAAGCTGCTAGTTAATCATATGTTGCCTTAAAACAACTCGTAGTAAGAATATTTGTATTGTGGGTAACTGGCTGTGTTGTCTTAATAAAGTTTTTAATTTAATTACTTAGTATATCTGATGTTGTTTATTATCTAAAATGTTGAACTTCATAAAAATTATTCCATGTTTAAAAAATACAGTTTTTGCTTAATTTCCTAAATGCTGCGTTCACACTGCCCAAAGTGGCAGGAGCAACCAGATTCTATGTAAAGTCTGTGAGGTTAAAGTGCAGCTGCGTCTCTGCGGTGCTTTGCCCCAGATGAAGCATGCAGTGGTAATGCAGCATAATATGCAGCAAACTGAACTTCTTTTGTGTGGAACACTGACGTGTTCAATTTTGAATAACTAAAACATGAAATAGATAAAAGTTTAATGTAAAACATTTCAAACTAATTGGAATTCTTTTTTACATTATTTAAGTTTTTCACAATTGTATTGTCACACAATTTTTTGGTTTATTTCATAATATGTTATGTGTTAATTTAAATTACAATACTTTGGTGTTAATCACTTGTGAAATGTCTACATATGTACATATCTTGTGTGCTCCAAGCTCAACTCAGGAGTAGGCTATGATTAAATTTTGATCTGCATTTGAGTAAAAAAATTTTTTTCAAAACTGTATTTAGAACTGCAACACTGGAAATGAAGCCATAAAAACAATTATTTGAATTCTTTTTTCCATTATAACAGATTGCTGATTGATATTTTGTGTAACTGACAGGAGAGTGAGCAGAGTTCCGGATCTGATGACGAATCTAAATGTGAAGGTATGAAAGGAAAAGCATGCATCCAAATGGAAATTAAGTTAGAATTGTCTTAACACTAACACTAAATGTATAACAGGGAGAGCTGCGGCTCATGAAGTGCAGCGTGCCTCCTTGGATGAGTCTGTGTCTCCCAGGTCAGATACTGAAGTTTCTCCAAGCACAATATTGAACCCCGGATGGCCTCCCAACCTACTCCTCACTTGTAAGTGCAACATCCAATTTAAATAAATGATTGCTGACCCACAAATTAGTCAAGATAGCCAATCAAAGCAATTTATCCAAATTTGTGGGGCAATGAATTTTGCTTGAATATTTAAGTAACAGGTCAGTAAAAATAAAATACTGTGTTGTGTAGGTTACTTAAGCTATAAGCAGGTTTATGCTGACTTTCCCTACAAATGCTTTGAATTTTTGAGAAAATTACAGCAGGGCTGAGCTCAAATCATGGTGGTGGCAGCCTGTCACGGACAGTCACAGCAGCCACGGGATTTTCAGCAACAGCAACGGCCATGGCCAGCCACGGGTTTTCCAGCAACAGGCACGGGATTTCCGGCAGCCAGTCGCAGCAGCCATGATATTTCCGGTAATAGCCACGGACGGCCACGAGTTTTCCAGCAATAGCCACTAAATTTTTGGCTGTCAGCCACGGCAGCCATGATATTTCCGGTAACAGCCACATACAGCCACAAGTTTTCCAGCAACAGCCACGGGGTTTTCAGCAGCCAGTCGCAGCAGCCACGGAATTTCCAGCAACAGCCACGAGATTTCCAGCAGCCAGCCATGGAGAGCCACGAGAATTGCAACGAAGTGAGAATTTTTTTTAGCAACAATTGCCACTTGCAACGGGTTGATTTATATATTTTTCCCAGAGTTGCTACTTTAAGTCCCGTGGCAGCCTCGTTTTTTTAACGTAATTAAATCCGAAAGACTGATATTGAATTCAGTCAGACGTTTAGGCAACATAACCACATAAGAGAGACAAAAAAATCAATCAGTGCAGTGCCAGTGAAAATAATATAATTCTGAGCTGTTGTTGTAACCTCTAGTTTTCAGTGTTTTACATATGATTTCTGGGTTTTCACTGCAGGTGAAAAGCTTTGCAGTAAAATAACTTTACAGTTGGCGTGATTATAATTTGTCTGTATCATGATATAACAACATTGCCATGATTTTTTAAAAGAACTTTATTGAACAAACAAAAGTTGTACAAGCAAATTCACAAAAGTTATAATCTATAAAGAACATTCAAAAACTAATAAAATAATTGGAGTGAAATTAACAAATAAAAACTGAAATACATAAGAAAAAAATATAAACCAAAATAAAAAATAAAAACCCACATCTGCTATTAAGATAAAATGAAATTTGAGAATTGAAAGTTTTCCAATATTTCTGATTTTTTTTACATTGCCATAAGGAATAGTAACAAAATAAGTAATCAGATTAGATTCTTTGAAATAATTCAGCAGCAGAGACAAATACTCCATTTTGATTTATGTAGTAGTGAGCGACAGCAGTGCCCTGACCAATCACAAGCTTGCGCTCTCCGTCTTGACGGATGGATGTTTATAATAGTGGGCTCAACTCCGTACGTACTTGCGTGCCTGCCAGGGGCCCTACGCAAGGACGGATAATGGTGATGCGTGTCTCCGCACTGATGCAGACGGGGAAGCTTGAATTAGGCTTTAGGTCTCGTTGGAATTGGAAACCTCGTGGCTGCCGCGGCTGGCTGCTGGAAATCTCGTGGCTGCCGCGACTGGCTGCCGGAAATCTCGTGGCTGACTGCTGAAATCTCGTGGCTGCAGCAACTGGTGGTTGGGAAGCTCGTGGCTGTCCGCGGCTGGCTTCCAGGAATCTCGTGGCTGTCCGTGACTGGCTGCCACAGACACGATTTGAGCCTGCTGTCTCTCGAAATTTATTTGAAAATGGTAGATGGCCAGCATTTGTATAGCCCTTTAACTACTCCTTGAGGATCTCAAAGCTTTCTCAGTTTTACATAATATTTGCTATCAATTCTTTATGACTCAATTCCTAAATAAATAATTAGAATAAGTGTTTTGCATACAGTATAAACATTAGCAATTAACTGAAACTCCTATTGGTGTTTATTCTCATCTGTCTTTTTTTCTTCCTCAAGCTGGTTCTGATGAGATTGAAATTACACTTCTGCCAATCATAAGTTTAAGTATTAAGGGCTTACACAAAGGGGTAAGGATGTCACATGGGATTAAGCCTAAACATGGATTGCTATTAACATGGTTCAGATAGGACAGGGGTGTCAAACTCCAATCCACGAGGGTCGGTGTTCTGCAAAGTTTGTGTTCCAGTTTCAACACACCTGAATTATATGCTAAATTGCCTCCTCAGCAGGCAACTAGGTTATATGGGGTTATACTTCTGTCCTAATTGTGATTCAAGTGTGCTGAGATGGTATGACTTTCTGCCATTTTCAATTTAACAGTGCCCTTAGCTCTCAGACTGCAGGTTTACTGGTAGTTCCTAGGATTTCTAAAAGTAGAATGGGTGGCAGATCTTTCAGCTACCAGGCTCCTCTCCTATGGAACCAGCTCCCAGGATTGGTTCGTGAAGCAGACAACATGTCTGTCTTGAAAAGTAGGCTGAAAATCTTCTTCTTTGACAAAGCTTGCAGGTAGACAGATTACTGTTAATAGCTCCTGCTTTAGGCTATGCTGTTGAAAGACACTGACTCGTTTTCTTCCCTTTTACAATTCCTTAATTGCATTATTTGCTGTTATTACAACTGCTAACCTGATCTGGTGCTCTGATCAGCGGGATGCCTCAATGAACGAGGGCCTTCACTGGGCTGGTGCTCCAGTGGTTGAATGTTCTCCCTGTCAACTTGTGAACTTTTGCTCCTGCATCAGTTCTGTTATTCTTTCTGTGTCTCTGCTCTGTCTCCTCCAAGCATCAGACGGTCTCGGCAGATGACTGCTGGTACGGAGCATGGTTCTGGTGGAGGTTTCTTCCTTTTAAAAGGGAGTTTTTCCCTCTCCACTGTTGCTTCATGCTTTTTAGTGAGAGGGATTGCTTGGGCTGAATCTGCATGTCAGGGTCACAACTGCTGGGCAATTAAACAGTTGTCTGGGATAGAAAACTTTAGAACTGAGCAAATATATAGAAATATCTGTCCTGTAAAGTGCCTTGAGATGGTGTTTGCTGTGAATAAGCACTGGAGAAATACACTGAATTAAGGTGACTGAACCTGGAACCAAGTTCTAATATAAGCTCTTAGTAAAAATGTTTAAACGCTTGTTTTTTAAAAGGTGAAACAATTAGGTCTTTGTCTTTTCTTTTCCAGGAAGACAGTCATCACATTCAGCGTTTGAAGAAACTGACAGCTCATCATGACAAATGTGAGCGCAGTTTTGAGAAGGCTTATGCAATGCAGACAAAGGAGGAGCAGGACAGAACATTAACGTTGCATCATCAACTGAACATGAAGGTTGGTGCTATTTGACGGCTAGATAACATCGCAATAAAACAATTTAAAATAACAATCCAGCAGAGTAGAGTTTTAAGATGGGTTTCGAATGTTGTTTCTGCCTGTAACAAAAAATATCTAAGTGAAGGTTTTGGTGTAGCTCTTTAGTTGGACTGGAGGGTGGTAAAATAGATAAGATTTTTTGCATGTTGACCTGGCACCAAACCAGTGCTTAATTCGGAAATGAAACGTTCCCGGAACGCAAAAAGTGACGTCACACCAAACTTCACTAAAGGCAGAACAGATGTCGTAGCACGCACGGGGTGGGGGTGGGGGTGGGGGTGGGGGGTTGTTCCGGTTGATTCGCTGGAATTTTTGACAATTAAATATTGCGCCCACATTTTCAAGTTAAAACACATTTCTTTCAACAACAGTAGTTTTTGCATCATTATTGTTCCCCTGCTTCAGCCCTCCTCTTCTTGCGCAGCAGCCGCAATCTCTCTGGTGTTCCTGCAGCCTCAGAGTTCCTGCTGCTCTAAACATTGAAAGAATAATTTCATTTTCTGTTCCTCACTTCTGATTATTTGCAATTGTGTCTGTTTGTTGCAACCACCAGGTACAAAAATGAACTTGTTTTTATTTGGCTATTTTTCTGTCCTGTCTCTGTTATCTTCCTGCATCTCCTCTCAATCCTAATGAAACACTGCTACATGTCTTCATGTTTTTCACCTCAAAATTAACTGTAGTTTAAAAAGATCTACGGACTGCAAAAATAGCAGAGTGCGCACCGGCCGCACCGGTAAGGTGCGTCACCGGAGGACAAAACTGGTGATGCACTCCGCTCTGCAGCAGCGAAACGCATCAGACACAAATAAAAGACAGAAATAATTAAAGGATATGAGCCGACATGAACGATCACATGTTAACTTTGTTTTTGGGGTGGCAAAACTTTGAGAATGTTACTGTGACCGTGCTCAGGACACATCTGTCTGGAGCGCGTACGAGCTCTGCGCCTCTCAGCTCTAAATAATCCCCGGAGAGTCCACATGAATAATGTAATATAAGTAGAACCAGGATCGTCTTGGGCTTCTGTACAGGGTGTGAAAGCAGAGGGCTGCCAGGGGAGCCATCCTTTGGGGTGAGCTGAGATCCCTTTAGCTCACCAGTAATTCGAACCCTGTGTATAGCACAAGTTGGTCGCGTGAGTTGCCGGATCCTAGCAGACCGTTGCTCAAACGGTCCTTTCAAAATAAGACTTAAATTCAAATTAAGCACTGCGCCAAACCATACTTTCCTTGCTGCTACTGTCGTACTGATGTTTAATATTTGTTTCCATCCCAACTCAGTTATTACATGCATTTTTAATAAATGTAACTGTAGTAAGTTAGCCTTGAATGGGGCGCCTACTATATTTTGTTAGTCAAAAATGTTTGGTTTGTTTTGATTTACAGAGTTCCACTGGAATAGACATTCCAAAAGTTATTGCTAACCACTTCACATCATTCTTCTTTTTTCTTCACAAAATTAGGGTCATCATCTGAAAGTGAAGATACCATCACCCTTAATGAAACTCCACCTGATGTGATCCAAGATGACAGCGTTCCTATGCTCACAAGAACCCAAAGTGTAATTGTAAGTTTGTCTTCAAATGTTAATGTATAATCTCAATTAGGGTTGTCACGGTGTGAAAATTGAACCTCACGGTTATTGTGACCAAAATTATCACGGTTTTCGGTATTATCGCAGTATTTATTT